TATTATATTATTTTTAATTATATTGTTTTCAGTTATATTATGTTCAGTTATAGTCATTTCAAGTTGCTATATAACAAGATAACACAGGTTGGGTGGCTTAAACAACAGAAGTTTATTTCCTTACAGTCCTAGAGGCTAGGACAGGAGGTGCTGACTGGTGGCTTTTGGTGAAGTCTTATTCCTGATTTGCAGAGACACTTTCTTGCTGTGACTGAACACACCTTCTTTCCAAACATACACACAGAGAGATCTCTGGTAGCTGTTCCTTTTCCTAGAGAAACCCAAGCCCTCTCAGATTAGGGCTCCATCTTTATGACCTTGTTTAATTGTATTACTTCATAAAAAAATTATTACTTTTAACAGACCTACCTCCAAATACAGTCACATCAAGACTTAGGCCTTCAACATTTGAATTTTGAGGGAACAAACTTCATTTCATAATACCATCCTAGTAGGTATAAAATAGTACCTCATAGTGACTTTTTAAAGTTGTTCTTTCTTTCTCTTGCTTAATTGCACTAGCTAAAATTTGAAGAACTGAATTGGATAGGATGGTGAGTGAACATGCTTACCTTGCTCCTGACATATACAGTACACCATTCATGGGCAATATGATTAATGGCAACGATGTAAAACTACCAAGTGAGAATCAGTATAAAGATACATTTCAAGAGTTTTGAGATTATGATAAACTCTCAAACACTTCTTTAATTTTTGTTTGTTTGTTTTTTGTTTTCTGGTACCAGGGATTGAACTCAGGACCTTATGCTTGCCAGGCAGGCACTTATGCTACTGAGCCATTTCCTCAGCCCCCAAACACTTCTTTTCATAAAACTAGTTCTTCCTTTCTAATAACAAGTCGAAAAATATTCACTCTGAAAGTTAAGTTTTCAAATGGAAAAAAAAAAGCCAGAAAATTACTCTGAAAATATCAAGCATTAACATGAACAATTTTAAAAGAAATACAAGCCAGAGAATAGTAAATCACCTCCATGTTTCCTCTATAGGGCAAAACATACGAATACTCTTTTTTTGAGACAGGGTCTTGCTGTGGAGTTCAGGCTGGCCTTGACCCTGAGGTGATCCTCTGGCCTCAGCCTCCCACGTGCCGAGTGCGTGTGCCACCACGCCCAGCTTCTTTGCACACAGCTGGCACTCTAACAGTTTGCACTATCATCACCTTTAAAGTAATAGTCTTTTCTAAAAATAAAAGAAATATTTCCTGCTAATAATCAGATTATTTAAACTGTTTCCCACACAAGGAAAAAATCCAAAATAATGTACTGTTTCCATATTCTTTATATAATTTGAGTAGATTGTGCAGCACCTAGATTCCCTCAATAACTACCATTAAAAACATACTAAATGCCACCAAAGGTCTAGAATCTTTCCAAAGATAACTTCACAGATTGACATGGTTTGCAAATCAAAGAAGCAATATTTTTTAAAATCTTTTTGAGACAGGGTCTGCCTACACAGCTCAGGCTGGCTTGGAGCTCACTCTGTAGTCCAGGCTTCTTTCTCAGCCTCCTAAATGCTGGGATTACAGGCATGCGCTACCACACCCAGCTCAATTATTTGTGAAAAATAATTCAAATGAAAACCAAATTGTTTCATTCTTCTGTGTCTTTGATTCTGCTCAGCTATAAAGAAAGACAAACTCAAAGACTTTAGAGGTAAGTGGATGCAACTAGAAGCTATACTCATAAGTGAAATAAATCAGACCCACATGTGTAAATATTGTATTATCTCCCTAGTGTAAGAACATGAAAAAATAAATACAACCTGAAAGATATAATAGATATAATAAAACGAAAAGAAATTGAACTTAAGGATTAAATAATGAAGATGAAAGAAAATAGAAAAGATAGGAAAAAAGGAAGGGGGAAAACATTCAAGTATATATAGAGGATGGCTGAGATGTTTGTACTCATAATTTTCATCACCTTGACTAACTGAATGCCGGGATCTGTGATCTGAGCAACTATATAGAGGACAGCAAAGTGAAATACAAAAATCATGGTTGAATACCTCTCATCTTGGTCTTCTAAATGTGTACCATTTCTAATACCCTGTTAATTATTATATTCTTTAAAATAAATGCTTTAAAAAGGAAAAAAAATAAGATTTCTTGAAAACAAGCATTAATATTCAATCATTTGTCCAATGTTACATAAGTATATCTGCTAATCTGAGCAACAGATTTGACAATAAAAATAGATAATGTAACAACCATTGTTAATTAGCTATTTCTGTTCTGAAAATCTAACATATGTATTGTTGTATGTTACCTTATTTCTGTCTTTTTTTCTATTTGTTTTTGTTTCTGTTTTTACTCTTCAAAATCAAATAAAATTGAATTTAAAAATAAAATCTATTAAAAAAACAAATTGTTCCCCTGAATAATGTACTTACTATAAAACTGCCCTGCTTATATTTCTTCTTTGGTATTTTTTACTATTTTCTCTATATTTTATATTAACTTAAAAATATCTCTAGTGACTCTTTCAATAAACTTCAAGTCAGGAACCCAAAGGCAGTGTGTGGCAGATCAGATACCTGACAGAGGGTGCTCTTGACCCGGGATTTCTGGAATCCATCACTGACCAGCATGACACTAGAAGGGCACCTGCACTGAGCCTTGTCGTTTTCTTTGTTGAACTCTGAAGAAGAAGCAGCCAAACATTGCTATTACTTTCAGCAATGTGAACTTCACAAGTAAGTAAAAACCTCTGACTTGTAAACCAACTCAAACATTTTCATGCTGTGCATGACACATTGTGAAATCACATGAAGTCACAAAACTCAAACACCTCACATACAAGTTAGCAAACTTAACAAGCAAGACCCTTTGCTAGTTTTGTAGCACAAGGATTAAAGAAAATGCAACTTAGAATGATTCTTCTTTATGCCTACTCATTATACAGAAGTTATTTCTTATGGAGAGGAATCATCACTATGATAAATTACTATTTTTAAATGAATTCTTACAATTTAAAACTGTACATTTAAGGGCAGGGATATAGCTCAATGGCACAGTGCCTGCCTGGCAAGCATGAGATCCTGAGCTCAATATTCAGTACCAAGAACAAATAAATAAATTACATTTTAAAAAATGTAATAAAAACAAAACATTTCATTCCATAGTGTTTTGTTTTATGTATTTTGTACAGGGTGTCTCACTATGCAGCTCAGACTTGTAGTGATCCTCCTGTCTTCAGCCTCCCCAGCTCTAGGATTACAGGCGAGCACCACCATGCCTGGACTTGGTGGCCAGCTTGTCATGCCTGTGGGCCAGGCTGGCCCTGCATGTGGTGCCGGGAACCCAGGCCCTGTGCTTGCCTAAGCAGGTGCTTAGTCCACTGAGCTATCTCACTGGCCCTCATTTTGTAATGTTAAATGATACAAACTACAGGCTTTGTACCTTTGTTGTTTTGTGTAGCTTTAGCTCAAAGCCCTTTGCTTTTTAACAATAGGATAAAATCTTGGTGTTCCCTTAGGATCATGTGACCTGGGTATTCAGGATATTTTGGGTGTCCTAGAAGGATGCATCCTCAGAGATTCTGGAACTCAGAATATGTCTTTGCTGCTAAAGTTATTTCTAAAACATCAAATAACATCTGAGCTAATTTCAATCTGCAAAATAGGTAGCTCTTAAAATTATTTAGATGCTAGGAAAATATTTCACTTTGATAAGAATAATTCTAAAATTTTCTGTGTTCAAAGAATTTTTCATTAGAAATATTTCAAATATATTAGAAAGAACAAAAACTAAATAGTTGTCTAACACTTTACAAAATTTAAATTTTGTTCTATCTTGGAGGGAGCACTTAGCTATAGACCCAGCCCTTTATCATTTTTATGAGACAGTGTCTTGTTAACTTAATTGTCCAGGCTAGCCTCAACATTGTGACTCTCCTGCCTTGGCCTCCCCAAGGCCTGGGTTCCCTGTGTGTGCTTTTGTGCCATTTGTCATACCTACTCACAACCTTTATTGTTCTTTCTTTCTTTCTTTCTTTCTTTCTTTCTTTCTTTCTTTCTTTCTTTCTTTCTTTCTTCTTTTAATGTGTTTGGTACAGGGTCTCATTACACAGCTCAGACTCATAGTGATCCTCCTGTTTATATCCTCCCCAGCACTGGGATTACATCACGGGCGTGTGCCACCAGGCCTGACGCCAGCTCAGCATGCTCAAGGTAGGTCCAGTGTGGCATGTGGCACCAGGGATCAAACCCAGGTCACTACACTCGCCTAAGCAATGGCTTAGTCTGCTGAGCTATTTCTTTCTTTTTCTTTTTTCCATAATTTTATTGCTGCTGAGCTATTTCACTGGGGCTTTTTTGGTTTTTTTAGACAGGATCTCACTATGGAATTCAAGCTGGCCTTGTGCTCACTTTGTGGCCTAGGCTGGTCTCAAACTCACAGTAATCCTCCTATCTCAACCTCCTGAGTGTGGGATTACAGGCATGTGCCAAATGCTAGAGTTGTTTTCTCCCCACCCCCACCCCAAATCCCACTTCCTTCCTGATTTTCCTCTCCAGAGATGCCCATGCTGTTAAATTTGGGATTTTTGTTGTTTTGATTTGGGTTTTTTTTGAGACAGGGCCTGTACTTCCTGCTGGCCTTGGACTCTGTAGCCTGGGCTGGCTTTGACTTTGTAGCGATCCTCCTGCCCCAGTCTCCTGAGTGCTGGGATTACATACATGTACCACCATGCCCAGCTCTGCTTTGTTTTTTTTTCTTGAGACAGTGTCTTGTTATGTAGGTCAGGCTGGTCTCGAACTCACAGAAATGTTCCTGCCTCAGTCTCCCAACTGCTGGGATTAGGAATATAAACATATGCCTCCATGCTCAGTTTAGGATATTAAGATGTGGTACTAAGTAAATCAGATGATGAACCAAGTAGTAGAGACAAAAATACAGGTTTCATTCTTTCTTGTTTTTCTTCACACTTATTACCTTATTTTATCCATATGATAACCTTTCGCTCTTTCATTCAACAAATAGTACTAAATGCCTAATTTTCATGTACTATTCTGGGCATAAGTTTGTAAAATCAAAAGTAAATGTACTTATGTGCTATTTCTATTACTATGCGATAATATTTTGCTAGTTCTTTATATAAATGACAGAATATTTTATGTACCATTTTCTGTCTTTTTATGTTATTCATTTAGCTCTGATTTGTTCATTTCCAGTGATGAACTAGATGCTGTTATATAAATATAACAACATTTATCTGTTCTCCTACAACAAATGGATTTATGTTTTTCTAACTATTTAGTTTAATTAATAATACTACAATCAACATTATCAAATATGTTCTCTTTTTACAGATGTGTACATTTCTCTAGTGTTTCTGAGTTGAGACCCCAGGTCAAAGGACAAAAGTATCTTCTGACTTTCTCAATATTGACTGACAAATCACTCTGTGATGGCTGTGTCTAGATGTCCCCTGGAGCCTCGTGCAGTTGCAGGCAGGGCTTGGTGGAGGTGGCTGGATCTGGACTGTGTGCTGCTGGGAACAAGGCTGTGGCACTGGGATTAAGGTCTGAGTGCTACCCAGGGACAGGAACAGGGCTGTGGGGTCCTTCGTGGTCACTTGCCACTTGCTGCCTTCTGCATAGCATGAATGTCCCTCCTCTGTGATGTCCTCTGCCATGCCCCCTGTCTTGGAGCCAGCTGACTGTGGGCTGAAACCTCTATACATTGTGAGCCACATAAAACTTCCCTCCCTGAACTATGGATCTGGGGCATGCTAGCTCAGGAATGAGAAAAGAAACTAAGACACACTACATAGTGTTTTTACAAGTTTATCCTTCCACCAGCAGCATGTGAGAGTCCCAGGGACATAATATCCTGGTCAAACCTGGGTTTTGTTTAAACCCTTAAATTGGCCGTGTTCTGGGAACCCCCAGACCCAGTCCTAGCCCAGGTCCAGTGAGCATGTGGGAGAACTTCCTGCTACCCTTTGCTGGCGGGACCTACTACTGGTCCCAGCCCAGGCGCAGCATGGGTGAGACTCTCTTCCACCCCTTGGGACGCCCCCCACCACTCCACAGCACCTCCCCCACCCCGCCCACTGAGTAGGAATTTCTGCCGCGTTCTGGGAACCCCCAGATCCACTCCTAGCCCAGGTCCAGTGAGTGTGTGGGAGAGCTGCCTCTCCCCCCTACTCCACCTTGTCCCCTCCAGGGGGCTCAGCTCAGGCCTGGCATACATGCCTGGGGTGTAACCCTGCAGCTGCAATCCCTGCAGAGAGTGTAGAGGATAGAACCACCCAGCTAGTCCAGGAGCAGAAAATCTTGTCAGAGGGACACAACAGGTTCACCCTCAAGGGCAGCAGCAGG